TGATTACTTTAAAATATGTATTAATGTATGTATGTAAATATGTACAAATGAATGCAATCCTTCCCTTTTCAGGCTTTTTTATATGTATAATAGCGAAATATTAAGTTAAATAGCGTTTTAAATGAAATTTTAAGAATAAAAGAGCATACAGAAAAAAAACTGAAAAAGGCGATTTAACTATCATTATTTTTGGAAATTATGATAGCGAAAACGATATCATAATTTTATGGAAAAACGATATCATAAGGAAAGGTACCATTTAGTACGTAAATACTATCGTTCTCGATACGAGAACGACTATCACTTATGATATTTTTTATCACCTAATCGTTTTGATATCGTTATAATATCGTTTGGTTTATTGGGAACTCTTCAGTCAGTTGATTTTTCTATTAGAAAATATGGAAAAATATTTAACAATAGCAAAATTTTCATTAGGATTTGAAAGTAAAATTTATATATCGAGGGACTATATTCAATAGTTCTATCTGGCATTTTCACGAAAATAAGATTTTGATGGCAAAATATCCTGCATCAGTGACATAAATTTCAAAGAAGAAAAATATTTTTTGGCAATAAATAAAATAAGAGTTCAGAATGCAAAACTCTCTATCATATCCAAAAATTGCTTCAAACTCTATTATGTTGGATAATTTTTTGTTGCAAAACAAGTATTTTTACTAATTCGGACATGCTGAACACAAATCCGCCAAAATATTAGAAATCGGTTTAATAGTTTTCGAGGTATCGCTCATTACGATACTAATTTGATTAATTTTATTGCAGTGTTTAACCATATAACATAGATTTTGGACCAAACAATTTGGTTTCTATTACTTCAACAATTTGGTTTCTATTACTTCATTAAATTGCATAAAATATAATATTTATTGATTTTAAATCAAATAAAAACTGCATATTTCTATTAAAAACTCTGAAGGTTGCAAAAAAATTTTCGTAGAAAAAAGCTCTATCTGATATAAATTTGTGAATAATTTTGAAAATAATGCAAAATTTTAAATACTTTTTATATAACGATTTAGAATATGGTCTAAAAAATATATTATAGAAGAAAAGATTTAAAAATCTACAAGAGCTAGTGAAATAAACAGTTTTTTTGCTCTCCTGAAAACATGTATTATTTTAGATTGAGAATTTTGAATTTAGTCCCTCGATATATTCTTTAGGAAAGTATATTTTGTTACCAGCGTTTCTACTTTTTCCAAATTTTGTTAGCCGTGATATTAACGGAATGTGATTTCATCAATTTTTTGAAAAACACTTTAATAGATCTCCTAATTTACTTCGATGGACTCCGCTTATCTCAACATCTTCCAATTATATTCATTCTTGTTTTTGTATATGGGTCGTTTTGGAATATTTCGAACAGGTTTCACAATTTGATTTATTTCATTTTTTGGGTCATTATTTATCATTAAAAATGTGGAGTTATTTCATTCACCCTTATTATGTATGTCATAGTCGAAAATCGACAATCATCGACTTAATTATTATTTTAATTATTTTTAACATTACATACCTATTTGTAACGAACAAAAGTTCGAATTTTCAAAATTCTAAAATAATGTTTTTTATGATCCATAGATTATTTTAATACCTTAAAATCTTTTGAACTTAATTTTGGAAATTCGAGTACATATAATATTGTAATGCCTTCATAAGTCAACTTAGACTACAGGAACTAGTTTTAATAGACTTAAAACATTTTAGAACATAGTTTGTATCATTCAGAGATTATTATCGATATCATTATAATATTATTTGGTTTATTGGGACTTCTTTTTTATTTAGTTTATTTATTTATATTAACTAAACTAATATTACTTTTTTAAATTTTTTAAACTAAACTAATTATTAAAAAAATTATTTAACCTGCCATTTGCAATTGTCCTAATTACAGGATCTTAAACAAAAATGGCAAGGAAATAGATTCCATTTGTTAGGTTTTATCAGGTTAATTAGCCGTTCTTTAGGATGTGGGCAATTAGGAATAGATCTTCCTTCAATTCTTTCTAGATCTAAGTTTGATCAGTTTCTTTTCTTTTTTTATACCCACCATCAAAAAAGATGGGGGGTATATTGATTTTGTCATTCCGTTTGTAACACATCGAAATATTGGTCATAGACCCATAAAAGTATATATATTCCGGGTCCTTATTAAATTCTAAGACGATCTAGCCATGTCCGTCCGTCTGTCCGTCCGTCTGTCTGTTGAAATCACGATAGGGACCACACGAGAGGAGCTAGACAGTTGAAATTTTGCATAAATATTCTCTATTGTTAAGGTTTGTTTGGTATTGAAAATGGGCAATATCGGTCCACTTTTTCGGATAGCCCCCATACAAGTGGACCTCAAAAAAACAGCTTTAACGGGCATAACTGCTTTAGAAGTACAAGTATAGCGATGAAATTTTACATAAATAAGTTTCATATGAGCAAAAATCTTTCTACCAAATTTTTTGAGGATCGGCCCATAAATGACCCTACCCCCCATATAAGGTCCCCTTCTGAAAATTACTTTAACACTCATTACAGGTCCCAAAATGCAAGTATAGCGATGAAATTCGGTATAAGTATGTTTCTTACGAACCAAAATCTCTCTACCAATTTTTTTTAGGATCGGCCCATAAATGACCTACCCCCCATATAAGGTCCCCTATAGAAAATGACTTTAACACTCATTACTAGCCTAAAAATTCGAGTATAACGATGAAATTCCGTATAAGTAAGTTTCTTACGAACCAAAACCTGTTAAACAATTTTTTTAGGATCGGCCCATAAATGACCCTACCCCCCATATAAGGTCCCCTCCTGAAAATGACTTTAACGCTCATTACTGGCTAAAAAATACGAATATAGCAATAAAATTTTACACAATAATGTTCCTCGCGAGCCAAAATCTTTTTAATAACTTTTATATGGATAGGTCCATAATTGGCCCTACTCCCCCTATTGGGTCCACTTCAGGAAATAGCTTAAACGCTTACTACTGTCTTAAAAATACGAGTAAAACGATGAAATGCTACACACGTAAGTTTCTTACGAGCCAAAACCTCTGTACCAATTTTTTTGGATCGGCTCATAAATGACCCTTCCCCCATATAAGGTCCCCTCTGCAAATAACTACAATGCTCATTACAGGCTTAAAAATATGAATGTGACGAAAATTGACGCACATAAGTTTAATCTCTTAGTTCCTTATTTAAAATACGAGTATATCGCTGAATGTACAAAATTTTATGAGTATCGGTTCATAATTGAAGCTCACGGTTTAAGAATTGAAATAAAATATTTTTTTTTTTTAAATTAATATTTTGTTAGTTCAAAAGAGCTCGGGCCATAATTGACTTAAGCCATATTCCAAATATCACGCTGATGTTTATAGGGGAGCATTCCTTTTACGGCATACGGTTTGATGGTGGGTATATGAGATTCGGCACAGCCGAATATAACACTCTTACTGGTTACTTTTGTTAAAGCATAACTTCTAGTTAAACATAACTTCGAACATAATACTGCACTACAAAACATTGATAATGCCGTTTGCATAATAATACATACATACATAGATGTTTCTTATGTAGGTTTTACGGCATATATTTTCGAGATATAAACGTTATTTACCCATTTTTTGGGTATTTAGATTAATTTTTATCATAGAGCTTATAATTTCTGATAACATCTTCAATCTACATAAAAAATATGTTTCTCTGTTTGAGTATAATAATACAGAGCAGATTCGAAGAGTATTGAAATTTAAGGAACAAAATAGTATTACAATAGCTCATCGCCATCGTTACATACTTTAATGATCAAAGTTTTGCCTTCACTTTTCACTCATGATTAAAATCGTTGGGTACAACTAAAGTTCTATTTTTTATGATTCAGGAATTAAAACATTAATCTTGTTCGCTTTGATAAGCCATTAAGAAAAATTTTCCCAAACCTATGATTCAGAAAACTTATCATCTGGTTTATTAAAGACTATTCTAGAAACATACACATTTTCGTTTAGATAATGAAATTGAAAAGAGAATAATTTAATTAAGGCCGCAGTTTTATTCAAAGTTACATTCAGAATTTTTAAGGTCGCCGGGAGCGATCTTATTTCATACTCTTCCCACTGTTAAAACAAACATTATATTAAATGTTATCATTTAATACAGTAATATTTAATTTTAATTCCCAACGGGACCTCCCTAATCTGACTATGTGTCTATGGTTGTACGCACAATCATGCTCTAGTATTGTTTAATACAATTTAATTGTTTTTTGTTTTGGTTTATTAACAAAAAATCTACAAAAAATTCTAGAAATATACACATACATATTTATTTAGATAATGAAATTTAAAAGAGAATAGTTTAAGCCGGCCGGGGTTTTGAATTACACTACACTTACTTACATGTACATATGTATTTATGTATAGTATTGTCTTAAATTTAAAGCTTATCTCAGCAAAAAAAAATTATTTAAAATAAACACGACCTCTTTTTGTTTTTGGGTTGAATTTTCTTCGTAAAGAAAATAATATTTTCAAGGCTTATCAGAAGAACTAACTAAACTAACAAAAATTTAATAAAACCAAACGATGATGTGTCCCAATGCAGTTTCCATGATAAGAAACACAGAGAAAGAGCATACACAATGACCCCTTGACTAATAAATTGAAAAAGAGAATCAACAAGAAAAACTATTAAATCACACATGCTGTTTTAACATATGGAACAAACCAAATATGTGTAGTAATATTAATAATAATAATAAAAAAAAACATTATGACGGTTTTATTTAAAAATAGAATGTATGTATTTTTCGATTTTTTTTGCTTTGTTCATTTAAAGTAAATGCAATGAAATTTAAATTTACATAAAAAAATGTATGTTTGTATTATTAATTTAATATCATAGACAAAAATTACTTAGAATTAGTACAAAACAAGGAAATTATTATTTACTATTTGGCATAAAAACAAGAGATTCTTGGTATTCTACACATGGCATAGAATGCATATATTCATTAACACAATCTTCTCTAAATGGCTTTTCATACAAATTTATATGAATCTACATAGTTTGTATTTTATATCTACATAGATTGAATGCAAAAAGTAAGAGATATAATGAATATAATTTTAAATACACTGACGACACATGATACATGTTTTTCCATTCGGTTTGCTTTCTATCAAACCGGAAAGTATTAAACTAAGTTTTTTTAAAACTAATATTAAAATTTAAGTAAAGCACAAAAATAGCAGAGAGTATTCGAGAAAGATTTTCATCAATCCAACAGCTACAGAGCCTGTAGCTAATTGAGCGAAGTAAGCGAGTTGAAATTTAGAATTCGTCATGGCGTCCTAGAGCCTCACCGAAATCTGTGGCCTTGGAACCAATAAATACATCATACTTATCAAGAATTTCAGCTTTAGTCAATAGTTCATCGCCATCGTTGTCGGCTTCATAGACTAAATGTTTGGCTTCACTTTCGGCATGATCAAAGTCGTTGGGTACAATCCAGGCTCTAACTTCTTCGCGATTCAAGAAACCATCACCATCGACATCACGGAATTTGGCAAAAGTCTCACGTTCACTTATAATCCACTCGGGTTCTTCCTCACCTTCTTCAGGGGCGGTATACATGTCACCAATATATTCTTCAATGGAGATTTTACCGTCCTTATCCTTGTCTATATCTTCAATGGTTTCTGACAAAACCACATCACGCATGGTGGGATGGTCAACGGGATGCAAAAATGCAGTAAATTCTTCTTTGGTCAAAGCATCATCCAAGTCTTGATCAGCAACACCCCAACGACGGCGGTCACGGTTCAACATGTTCTGATAAGAAATGCCATTTTCCTCATGCTCCTTTTCGTCTTTGGTAAGACTGTCCATAAAGCCATAAACATCACGTCTGTATGCTTCCCAGGAAATGGTAAGATTACCATCAGGATTGTGTTGTCTCCATTGGCGGTCGACATCTTCGTCAATGTAACGTCTTTGGGTATATTCAATCCACTTTTTTAATTCCGATATGGTAATGAAACCATCATTATCTTCATCAATTTTATCCACTATCAAACCCAAACGTCTTTTACTTTCTTCGGGTGGCAATTGATCGAATGTTTTGGCTTCATCTTCTCCCAAGAATTGTTCATGATCATACTGGGCATTGTGTTTGCCATGGGCAAAGTGAGCGCCATGCAAGGAATCTTGTTCCAAAGGATTATGTCCAACGACTTCGTCGGGTTTAGGCACAGCTGCTACCACAGCAAAAGCCAACACACACAAAAGGAAGACTTTAAGCATTTTGTTTAGATTTGTTTCTTTTCCTTTTCAACAAAACTATTTTCACTACTTCCTGTTTTTTATTTTTTCTAAATTCTATTGCTGGACCTAACTATCCAGATGGTATACGTGTACTTTACTCTAAGAATGTTCTCACTTAATTGAGTGCAAAGATGGAAGCTCCACTGATTTATTATTTTTTTCAATCTCCCACTTTATTCAATTGAAATTTATCAATCAAGGCAAATTTGTTTAAGGTGAAGTCATTTAAATCGCAGTTTGTTTTTTGTACATGTAAAGTTATAGCAAAACTGTCAAAGTCTATATATAAAAAATATACTCCCAAAACCGTAGTTGTCAAATTAGATGTAAAAACAAAAAATAAATCGCTACTGAGTTCAACTTATATGAATTCGCCTTATCAATGAAATGTTAACGATGTTGCCACATGGACAATTTAAGTTAATAATATACCAAAGAAAACAGAGATGTCCAACAGTAACGTGACGTTCGAGTGAATGGAAGTTTTAAAATATGGAAAAAATTACAAAGAATATGCAATTAAAAGTAATAATTATCGACAATAGATGTATTTTCGGTCATGTAGATTTATTAGGAAGAAATTTCCTGAAATTCGATTTTTAGTGGTATATTCGGTTATTTTATATAACCCATTCTAAAAAAGATACAACAATAAATTTATATATACTATACCAAAACAACTAAGTGGTATATTCGGTTATTTTATATAACCCATTCTAAAAAAGATACAACAATAAATTTATATATACTATACCAAAACAACTAACCTTACCCTATAAGCAAATTTTCAAAGATGAAATAATAAACAAATAAAGGACCAACTTGTAAACATACATATATACAAAACATATTTGTGTAGAATTGTATTCCGATACTAATATTAATGAGTTATTTGCGATTAATTGATTTTCAGAAGACGGCTTAATTTGGGAGCTATGATCAATTTTGGGCCGATGGGTAAAATCTTTCACAGAATGATTTGCACATATAAAATACATTAGGGTCAAATTTTATACCGATATTCTTATTAATTCAAAGTTAAAAAAAATCGAAACAAAAATATTGAAAAAGATATAGTGCATATAAGATTAGATGCATATAAGATAAGACGTAGTCGAATTCACCACTGTTACTTATTGAAAACTGTATTCTTTCGATTAAATATATATTTTTTTACTTACACATCACCAGGTCTGCTCGAAAGCGCCCAGCACTAATAACATGCGAAAGAGTTGCCATACTAACGAAGCTTGTATGTACATGTATTTTTCAAAATGCAACCCTGTCATAAGCCCCTATACAGAGACTTGCGCCGATTCGGCTTAAGCCGACTAAGCCTAGCCGCCGAACAATATGTCAAAGCCGCCGCCGCCGAAAATTTTTCAGCTTAATACGGCTTGAAAATTTCGCCATATTTTGTACAATTTACAGAATACTTTCGCTAAATTTGTGGAATTTTACAATATAAAATTAATTTGTTTTCATTTAAGCAAGTTTTCTTTTATTTAATAATAAGCCGCTCATTGAAATTTGGCCGGTGTAGATCTTTGCTCAACGTTCGATGTATATGCTTCGCCTCAGATATTTTCGTGTTTTCGCGCCTAATTCGAGTCGCTGCTTTGACTTCAAACCAGCTTCGTTGACGTCAACGGAGCTACACCTTTTTACATTGCTGGTATGTCATACCGTAAAGGGCTAGGGTATCGAACATGTGTGCAGTTGATGTCAATTCTGCCGACTGCGAAAAGAAATTCTGCTAGAATTTTTCGCGCCAAGCTGTTTTCTGTATTTTTTATTTGCCACAAAAAATCTGTTGTTGTGTGTGTGCAAAAATCTAAAATGACAGAAATGATATTCTTTAAATAAAAAAATAATTTTTTACTAACAATTGATATTATTAAGATTGTATGCTATACTACTATACCGAGGGTCATTGTACAAAGAAACAGCAAGTGTTGGGTTGAATTTAGTTAAATTATGATGAAATTTTTTTAAGGCGGGGTTTGTTTTCGTTTAATACCCAAAAGTGTTTTTCGAAATCTATATTTGGCATATTTGTGAGATCTAGAAGATTAAAAAATGTAAGTAATGGTGTTAATTAATTATTTATTTGTCTATAAAGAACGTCTTTCTTTTCAAGAAAGAGGAGGCATCATGATGGTCTCCTGGAAGAATGCCCACATATATAACTCCCTAGTCACCTAGGCGGGTGGTGGTCGGTCGGCTAGTGGTGACATGGTATATTATCACCTAGAGGCAATGGACGGAAGCTGATTGCCGTATTCAGGGGGTATCCTTGGGATACATACTTATTATTATACCATTGATCTCAGCAGAATCACTACCATACACCCATAATAGAGCGCGATGTCTGTCTGGTGTGCCTTTCAGTGAAGCTCTTGTTGTCTCCAAACACTATGGTGGCCGAATATTTACAAGAAACAATTGTTAAGCCGCCTTTTATACAAATTTATAGCTCTAGGTCCGTGAATGTCTTCACGGACCTAGAGGATATAACCTGGCTAGGTATGTAGATGTTGTTTGGGCAAAATATTGGTACTAACCATTGTGGGCTTTATGTCGACTTTAGGTCCCTTATAGTTGTCACACTATACCAAATAAGCATTCTTGCGGGAATTAAAATTTAAAACAAGTTTAATTCCAGTCAAACATTTAAATTTCAAGTGTTGAAATACACTTTAATTCAATAGCATTCTCCAGTGAAAACGAAACTTGAATTCAAGTCGAACATTACAATGTTTTTACAGTATAATTCAATGCACGAAATCTATATACATAATACATATATAAAATTCTAACGTTACTGACTGTCTGACTGACTGATTCATCATCGTAGAGCCTAAACGGTTTTAGCTAAAGAGCTGAAATTTAGACAAGAGGTTGGTCTCCCACCAAATAGATCCACTTAGACGGGATTTTTGGAAATTCGAATGATTAGGGGGTTAAAAATGGTAAAAACGGGTAAATTCGGTAACCTCATATCTCCTAAACTGTAAAAGATACAAAAACAGTTTAAAGCTTATCGTCGTTCATTTAAAAAATAAGCGGGCAGGTGTCTGGTACTTTTTTCAAATTCGGCCCCTTTGGGGAATTAACGGGTAGAAACTGTAATTTGGTACTTCTTTTGCACCCCATGTATCTTTTAAACCAGAGAACAACAAATAAAAAATATAAATTTAGTACTTTTAGGATATTCGAACGTTTAAGGGGTGAAAATTGTACCTATTTTTGGTACTTTTTTATAAAACATTGTTTTTGGTTTATTAACTTATACATATGAATACATAATAACGGGCTCCCAATACGATGTTGCAACTGGTACTTTTTTGACTTAGAACTTAGAAACATGTAATTAAGCACTCTATAAAAGTGGACTTTTTGGTACTTTTTCGTTCTTCAAAAGGTACTTTTTGAGTTTTCTATTTTTCGTTCTTCGACTGGTACTTTTTGAATTTTTTATAATATTGAACCTAGAAACATGAATTTAGGAAAGTAATAACATATAAAAGGGAACTTTTTGGTACTTTTTCGTTCTTCAAAAGGTATTTTTTGAATTTTCTATAATATTGAACATGGAGTAAGTGAGAACATATAAAACGGGACTTTTTGGTACTTTTTCGTTCTTCAACTTGTACTATTTGGATTTTCTTTTATAATGAACCTAAAAACATAAAACTAAGCAATCAGGGACTTGAGTGAATGAAAATTTAAACTGGAGTATTTCTGGTAATTTTTCGTTCTTTAACTGGTACTTTTTGAATTTTCTAAAATATTGAATATATAAACATAAAATTAAACACGCAGTATCCTAATTGAACGAAAATTTATCTCGCTTACGTCCATTTTGCAAAAAGGGCTCGATATCAATCGAAATCTCTATAGGCCATAGTTGACCCTGCCCCCTTCAATAATTGATTTTAACGTTTTCTACGTACTTAATAATACCATAATAAAACAATTTTTGTTGGAACGAAAATATGTAATGAAATCTTCTTGAGAAAATGACTTAAACGCACATAAATGGCTTTCAAATGTCGATGTCGACGAAATAAACATTTTTAGGAACCGAAACCCACATTTATGAAAAATAAAATTATGAGGATCGGTCCGCCAATATAACCCTCTTACAGAAAATCAGTTTATAGCTAATACATCATTCCAAAAGTTATCATTATGATAGAATTATGGTAGAATTAAAAAAAATACTTTAAATTATATATATTATTGATCCAATTCCACATTTAAGTCCCTAATCCGAAAATCACGGCGACGTTCTTATTAATCTAATGATTGGACCACTTCCGAAATTTGCTTTTTTACGACATATGATTTGCCGAATATAACTCTTACTTCATACTTATTTTAATCATAAAATACCACTAAAATAGGAATAGTCTTCCTTTAGAGTTGCGAGTTTTCATACATTCTAATAATGTTTTCAAAGTGAAACTTTTGGAATATTTTTCAATCTCTTTGTGATCCCTTTAAATGATGTTGTTCTGGAAGAACTTTAACATCCATGTAAACATTTCGGGTAATAAACTGGGGGACTACCAATGAGGGGAGCGGAACCTCCCATATAAATTAAATACAAAAATTCGTTTATCTGGGAAACTAATATAACTAAATTCTTCAAATTTTGCACGAACAACTTTAATATTCATCTGAACATTTTGGAGAAAAAAGGGCGGACTTTCATCTGGGGGGCTTGGAGCTCCCATATGAATTAAATAGAAAAATTCGTATATCTGAGAAACTATTAGAGCTAGAATCTTCAAATTTTACTGAAGAACATTTAGAGAATAACGGGCGGACTTTCAATGGGGGGCTTGGCACTTCCCATATGAATTAAATACAAAATTTTGTATATCTGGAAACTATTAGATTATTCAAATTTTTCATAGGTTAAATTAAAATCTTAATTAACGTTCGGAATAATTGGCGAAATTGCAATAATTTGCGTGGAATCTCCCATATGTAACAAATTGTATATCTGGAAAACCATTGTAGTTAGAATCATCAAAATTGTTAAGTAGGTTTCTTATTTATATTGCTTTTAGGGTAGCACAGCACACTGGGTATAGCTAGTAAATAAACAAATAAAATATCTTTGTTTTTACGTTATTGATAAATTTCTTAATGCAAAATTTTTTAGAAACTGATTTTCTGCAAGATGTTTTATATGGAAAATAGGGTTAAATATCGGCAGATCCTAGTAAAACTTGGAGAAAGGATTTGTTTTTAATTTTTAAGAATTTTTTTATTCATCCCTGCATAATTTCTCATGCAACTTTTGAGTTTGCTCTGTTTTGTTGTTAAACAATATATTTGCTTCCAAAATCCTACTTTCTGATCTCTCGGATTCCGTTTTTATTTAAAATCGTTATAGTTATATTTATTGAGACTTTTTTGAAACCAATTTTATAAGAACAACATATATTAAAATAACTAATATTAAATATTTAAGATTATAATGTAATGTCTTAAACAAATATTAATATCGTAAAAATACAGTACCAAACTTAACAATAATAGTTTAAATTGTATATTAAAAAATTACATGTCAAAGCCCTTGCTCCCGAGGCTATCAATGTCGTGAGAGTATATCTCATATATTACTAAATAAACTTAAAATTAAATCTTATAATCTAGAGATAAAAAACAAACTTCAAATAAAAAATTAACCCCTGTGAGAGCCAGGATAAGTTTTTTTAAAAAAATCCGGTGACGAATTAGCCATGTTAAAAACAATATTTTCATTTTGTACTCCAAGAGGAGATACGTATGGTGTATTTGTTAAATTAAAACCTATTTGAGAATTATTTATTTCTTTAATAATAATGTTCTCATGATAACTTAGTCTTTTTATGTATCTTTTAATAATATCAATAACATAAAAGCTCAACGGCATTACACCTGATTCTTCATATATTACGACATTTGAGTATCTTTTAAATCTTGAAACAAAACTTTTACCAATGCATGATCGTAATACCTTTCTTTCAAAAATTTCAAATTTATTCATTAAAGTGGGAGAAATAGAGAACCAAATAGGAAATCCATACAGTAAAACAGGCCTTAAACAGGTTTTGTAAATTAACAATTTTGTCCTAATAGGCAATGATTTATGGGTTAACACTCTGCCAAAACATCCTTTAATTTTATAAACTTTTTTTAACATAATTTTGCTGTGGTCATTGAATTTAAAAAGTTTATTAAAATAAATACCAAGGTATTTAAATTTATCATTGAAAGGTATTTCAACACCATTTAAACTTAGTTTCAGTTTTTTACTTTCAGGGACAACATAGTAAGGACATTTGCCAGATGCGTTTCTTTAACAAATTACCTCACTTTTAGAGGCATTTATTTTTATTCCCCAAAAATCATAAAATTCTTTAACTTTTACTAAGTGTCTAGAGACAATTTTAAGTGCTTCTGAGGGAGATTCGTGGTGTGCATAGAGTAGTGAATCATCTGCATAGAGTACACCTGTTGAGTTTAATAGGTTGTGGGGAAAGTCATAAATTAAAATATTGTATAAATGAGGTGCCAGAATTGAGCCTTGAGGTACTCCACAAGATACTTCACCAAATTCGGACCTAGAATCATTTAATTGTATGCAAAATCGCCTATTTTCGAAAAAGCTTTTGAACATTTTAATGATGTGTAAATCAATTCCAATATTTTTCATTTTAAAAAGTATTCCATTTGGATACGCTCTATCAAAAGCTTTTTCGACATCAAGAGAAATAGCAACTGTACAGCGTCGTTCTCTTAAATTACATACAACATCATTTTGGAACTTTGATAAAGCGTCTACAGTCGAATGCTCTTTTTTAAAGCCAAATTGCAAATTTGGTATATAGTCATCATTTAAATTAATATCCATTTTCTCACGAATAAATTTTTCAAATAATTTTCCCAAATTAGATAACAATGAAATAGGCCTAAGATTATTTATTTCACATGAGTTTGGTTTCTTTTTAATTGGTACAATTTTCGAAACTTTCCAGCTATCTGGAAAATACGCATTATTTAAACAATTATTGAAAATTATAACTAAAAATTCAAAAGCTATTACAGGCAATTTTCTTATTATAAAATTCGAGATATTGTCGATTCCGGCAGATTTTTTATTATTAAGTTCCTTAAGTTGAGACATAATGTTGTCTAAATTTATAAATCTGTTTGAATTTTGATTGTTTAGAGCCGAAAAATTATCATCGAAATTGAATAAAACATTATGATCCAAAGAAGTCAAGAAGCTATTTATTTCTGAAATATCTCTCTCTAGTGTATTGCCACTATATATCCCCGAAAAATGATTTTTAAGTGAAGTTAACTTTTCATTTTCATCATCAATAATTTGACCATTAACTGATAAATCTCCAATTGTAGTTCTACGTTTATAGCCTAATATATTATAAATTTGTTTATGAGCAAGAGGGCCTGGTTTTATATTTTCAAGTTTGTCACTGAAATTTTTAATATGCTCCTTACTAACTTGTTCTTTTATTAAAATATTCAAAATTTGGATTTGTTTTGAAATAAGTCTATACTGATCATTATTTCTATTCAATGTTCTATTGTACATTTTCCTCAATTCTTTCTGCCATCTGTACTTGACCTTAAACATTTTTTTTACAAAATCGGATGTCTCAAACTTTCTTGCTTTTAACTCAACTGACTTGGAGTGGAATCTCCCATATGTAACAAATTGTATATCTGGAAAATCATTGTAGTTAAAATCATCAAAATCGTTAACTGGATTTCTTATTTATATTGCTTTTAGGGTGGCACAGCATACTGGGTATAGCTAGTAAATAAACAAATAAAATATCTTTGTTTTTACGTTTTATATGGAGGATAGGGTTAAATATCAGCAGATCCTAGTAAAACTTGGAGAAAGGATTTGTTTTTAATTATTAAGAATTTTTTATTCATCCCTGCATAATTTCTCATGCAACTTTTGAGTTTGCTCTGTTTTGTTGTTAAACAATATATTTGCTTCCAAAATCCTACTTTCTGATCTCTCGGATTCCGTTTTTATTTAAAATCGTTGAAAAATTAAAAACTAAACGTAGTTGAAAACTTAGCCGGCTTACAGTCGATTTTAAGCCGCCGCCGACATATTTAGTGTCAGTCGCCGCCGCCGTTAATATTTGTCGGCGCAGGGCTCTGTGTTGGATCCTTCGTTTGCTTTATTGACATTTTCTTTGTTTTCATTCAGAGTTCAGATTGTCCTGTGGCAAAAAATACCACAAATTACGAATTAACTTTTACGATTTATTAATTATAAGTTAAAATAGAATAAACTTGTTATGAAAAACTCAACAATACACACAATGGAGACTGAATTTTTGACCCGCCTACCAGTACCCGATATACGGGAAGAGACATTCCAGTATTCCTACAAGCAGGTGAGTTGTAAACGACTAAAACAAGTGTTTACTGTGTAAATAAAATGGATATTTTCGTTTTTAGTCACATCGGCCACCAAAACTACAACCACCGAAATTGAAGCCACGCTACGATTCCAATTGTAATCGCGACCATACCGCCCATGCCATCTCATTTCGTTCAGATGATGATTGTACTGTAGACAATTTACTAAGTTCAACTTATAATTGTTCCTCGAATGAGACCTATTTCGAACAGGTTTTTACACGTTTGGAAAAAATTGGTGAAGGTTCGTTTGGCGAGGTGTTTAAAGTGCGTTCCAAAGAGGATGGTCTGCAGTATGCCATAAAAATGTCCAAACAGCTATTTCGTAGTGAACTATATCGGCAGGAGCGTTTGGAGGAAGTGAGACGTTATGAACAGTTTTCAGGTCATGCCAATTGTCTGAGATTCTATCGTGCCTGGGAACAAGATGATCGTTTGTACATGCAAATGGAGTTGTGTCGCGAGAGTTTAGACCGTTATCTGGAGCGTAAACGCAGTGTGCCGGAGGAGAAAATCTGGTCAATTTTATTGGATTTACTGTTGGCTCTCAAAAGTCTACACGATCGCAATCTAATACACTTGGATATTAAACTGGATAATGTTCTGATAGGCTATGATGATAGTTGCAAATTGGCCGATTTTGGTTTAGTCATCGATGTAGATCGTGCTAATCGTCATCAGGCTACAGAAGGTGATTCTCGTTATGTGGCGCCAGAAATAATGCAGGGCAATTTTTCAAAGGCTGCCGATATTTTTAGTCTGGGCATTGCGATGCTGGAGTTATCATGTTATTTGGAATTACCTTCGAATGGTCCCTTATGGCAGCAATTGAGAAATGCTGTCTTGCCTGAGGATTTCATTAAAACCATATCGCTTGATTTGCAAAATATTATAAAGGATATGATGACACCTGATCCACGGGAAAGACCAACTGTCGATCAGCTTTTGAGTCATAAGAAGTTGGCGTCAATATTACAGCGTAGAAGTCAGTGGGGGCTGGTGCATAAAGTGGTAAGTTTCAGTTATTACAATTAAAAGTTGGATGTTACGGTTTTTGATAAAACTTAAAATATAAAAGCTTTGTATTCTTCAGTCAAAAGGTCTATAAGCTTTTAACTAAGGTGTAAAAGCAACTCCTTCAATTTCCGTTATCTTGAGAATATTAACTCATCAAAAAACTTTAATAATACTAATATGAGTGCATCAAATCACCAATTGGTGATTTTAGACATCAGTACATGCTAGATGTCCTACTGAACCTACTAAACTTTTAATATAAATATATACATTTTATGAATGTTTTTTATTATAAAAATAATCTGTAAAATTCTTTGTTAACATTCAATGTTTTCTTCACTTCCCCTTGCAGAAACTCACTATACGAAAATCCCGACGTATGGCCTGGTCAAAATTGTGCAATCTTAAAAATATAGTTTTTAAATTCTTCACATCGATACTCTCTATTTTGGGGATGCAGGAAACTCCAACAACAGATCCGGCAATTGATGAAGAAGGAACGAATCTTTTAAAGACAGCAGAAAAGAAAAGACCACAATGCATACGTTCCCAACTAATATCGTCTACACCGACGGCTGCTATATCAAAGGCTAAGGCGAGAATAGATTTTCAATTCGATAGCGATTGTGTGGAATTGGCCCCAGAACATTCCACGCCCTATCATAATAAAAACAATAAAATTGTTAATTCCACCCCGGTTAACCATAATCTGGGCAGTAGTTTTCGCATAAGAAATGACTCAATAAGAAACAGTTTCAAGTATGTCGCAAAAAAATCTCTTAATTTATACAAACTAAATTTCATTTGTATCCTATTTTTATCCCCTTACAGTGATAACGATGGTTCTCTTTTGGATAAATCAATATTTCCTTATGTCGATGACTGTGATTCGGATTCTCATTTAAGTCAACGTAAAACACTAGATATTTCTTCTTTAAGAGGGAAGAAACTATTTTGTAAATCTGATGAAGATACGGATTAAAATGTATGTGCGTGTGAAAGCTCCTAAATTTTGTTCCTAGTATGTTTTTCATTTTCGTTGTCAAATCTCCTAATTTCCTAATTATGTTTAATGTTTTTAAAACCCAGTTGAAGTTGAAAAAATAAAAAATATTATGTTGTATTTTAAATTCATTTATATTTTTCTCCTATTTACCCTAATTCTTTTATAACTTTAATGCATTATTATTTTTTTTATAAACTTTAAGAAGATCATGTTAATGTTTTTTTGAGTTAATTTAATTATTATTAATATAATTTGCAATTTATTCTAACCACTACTATATAATATATTAAATTGAACATAAAATCTCAAAATTTGTTTTTGTTAGTTTTAGTCTAGTATTAAGCATTCAAATAATTATAATAATTTAATTGAATAATTCTCTATATATCTCTTTAGACATTGCAGTAGTAAAAACAAAAATATCTTGTAATGTATATAATATGTGTATGCATATACAATTTTGAATATTATTATATAGATATATGTATGTATCAGCTATATATGTGATATGTTATCGAAATAAAAAAATAGATATCTAAATGTTAAACTACTAACAGGAATATTATTATACTATAAACTATTAATTATAAACAAATATAAACCATAACAGTTGATTAAAAAAATTCTATTTTAATATAGAATATTTATTATTCCATTTTATTATGATTAGTTTAAAAAAGTTGTGTTATTGATTGATGAATCAAAGAGTTATTTTTTATTATTAGTATTTTTTATAAACTGCATTTTTTTGAATATGATAATAAAATAAATATGAAATTGTATATAAACTATTATAAAACTAATTAATTTTATTATTTTTATATAAAAGGACTAAACTAAAAGGAATAGCACCTTCTGAACAGAGGAAGTGAAAGTTTTGGTGCAAGGATCGCTCAAGACACGCAAAGTCAATCATGATTTCCATAGAATCTCTGGAGTTACCTTGAAGTCATCAGTTCTTTAAATCTAGTTCTATTCCTGTTCTAGTTTAGCTACAGTTCAGATCTATTTCAGTTCTACATAGATCAGAGATAGTTCAGTTCTAGTGTAGTTCTAGTTCAGTTCTAGTTCAGTTCTAGTTCAGTTCTAGTTCAGTTCTAGTTCAGTTCTAGTTCAGTTCTAGTTCAGTTCTAGTTCAGTTCTAGTTCAGTTCTAGTTCAGTTCTAGTTCAGTTCTAGTTCAGTTCTAGTTCAGTTCTAGTTCAGTTCTAGTTCAGTTCTAGTTCAGTTCTAGTTCAGTTCTAGTTCAGTTCTAGTTCAGTTCTAGTTCATTTCTAGTTCTAGTTCAGTTCTAGTTCAGTTCTAGTTCAGTTCTAGTTCAGTTCTAGTTCAGTTCTAGTTCAGTTCTATTTCAGTTCTAGTTCAGTTCTAGTTCAGTTCTAGTTCAGTTTTAGTTCAGTTCTAGTTCAGTTCTAGTTCAGTTCTAGTTCAGTTCTAGTTCAGTTCTAGTTCAGTTCTAGTTCAGTTCTAGTTCAGTTCTAGTTCGGTTCTAGTTCAGTTTTAGTTCAGTCTAGTTCAGTTATAGTTCAGTTATAGTTCAGTTCTAGTTCAGTTCTAGTTCAGTTCTAGTTCAGTTCTAGTTCAGTTCTAGTTCAGTTCTAGTTCAGTTCTAGTTCAGTTCTAGTTCAGTTCTAGTTCAGTTCTAGTTCAGTTCTAGTTCAGTTCTAGTTCAGTTCTAGTTCAGTTCTAGTTCAGTTCTAGTTCAGTTCTAGTTCAGTTCTAGTTCAGTTCTAGTTCAGTTCTAGTTCAGTTCTAGTTCAGTTCTTGTTCAGTTCTAGTCTAGTTCTAGTTCAGTTCTAGTTCAGTTCTAGTTCAGTTCTAGTTCAGTTCTAGTTCAGTTCTAGTTCAGTTCTAGTTCAGTTCTAGTTCAGTTCTAGTTTAGTTCTAGTTCAGTTCTAGTTCAGTTCTAGTTCAGTTCTAGTTCAGTTCTAGTTCAGTTCTAGTTCAGTTCTAGTTCAGTTCTAGTTCAGTTCTAGTTTAGTTCTAGTTCAGTTCTAGTTCAGTTCTAGTTCAGTTCTAGTTCAGTTCTAGTTCAGTTCTAGTTCAGTTCTAGTTCAGTTCTAATTCAGTTCTAGTTCAGTTCTAGTTTAGTTCTAGTTCAGTTCTGGTTCAGTTCTAGTTCAGTTCTAGTTCAGTTCTATTTCAGTTGTTTATTTTAAGTTTATGATTATGACAAAATCAAAAATTATCTTTTTAAAAACGATAAAGTGCAAAAATCCCTATTTTTAAACAGAACTGTGGAAGCTTAACCTTAAGTGTTTTTATAGAGATATTTTTTTCTTCAATAAAAATTGAATTATATTTTACAATTTCAAGTACTACAGGGTTTAATAAATACCCGATATATGTATGTATGTACATAGTATGTACTTACAATAAAACGCCCAAATTTATCAAAAATGAAAAAGTCGATTCGAATAATTTGGTCTCAAATGGACTATTTTATAGTATAGCAATTAAAAAAATTAGCTTTAAATTCAGAAAATTATTGTTAAAATCTTTTTCCCTCCAAGTCAATAAAACGTTTAACTAGAAACATTTATAAAAACGCATGTTTCTTAAGTCTTTTGTTTTATGGCTTACAGCCATAAAACTCACTCACACACACGTACACTGTTAAAACAATGTCAACCCAAGAAAAATGATTATTAAAAATAATAACTATGATAATCATAAATAATAATCGCCTACAAGATAAATTTTTAAATATCACTCTCGTTTTTTATGTGAATTAATTTATACAACAACAACAACAAAAAAACTACTTTCGCTATCATTGGAGGTTCAGAAAAAGAAGAAGAAGAAGAAAAAACAAAACAACAACAATATGGCATTACATACAGTTATAGAGGCACATGCTGCTGGCTAACTTAACAACCAATTGACTGACTAACTGGCTGACTGGATGATTAAAACGACACTCCTGTTTTTATTAAGTGTTCGGATGAATGAGTAAGCAATTTACAATTTAGATTTCATTTAAAACGACATAAATTGATAATATTTTCATTATAAATGCCACTTTTTAATTGATTGCAAATTATGTGTGTTTGTGTGTGTGTGTCTTCTATGACATACATTAATAGTAAATATTTCATTGCTGATGACATTTTGTTACCAATAGACAATTAAAGAAATAAGGGCTCTAAACCAGACACCATGTTACAATTGTTAACACTTGGAAACTGAGACCACTATCATTATTACTTCATACACATTACTCAATACTATTGGCTGTGCCAACTTTTGTAATATCTAATTATAGTTGAACTCAGCTCATCAGTGTACTTGTAGTTGGCAGCCTACACATAATGTTGAAAAAACCACATGGAAGTGCTCTATTCATTAGTTCAAACTACGAAGGTAGCATTCTTCCATAACCATAAAACTTCTTTATGCTGAAATGTGGAAAAACAAAACTAATGAGCACGATAAGGGTGCAACGTGCTTTACATTTGTTATTGTATGGACTGTATTGTACCATGAGTTTTGTTTGGGTTTTTTTGTTTGTTTGTAGCAAACTGCTAAGATATACAGTGGGACTGTATGAATATAATCTTGAGATTTCTTGTGATTTGTTTAATCAGTATTTAGTGTTCAAAATTGTTTATAACAACAAGTTAAAATGTGTATGGGATCTACTATGGACTCCGATTTTAGTGCATTTTGTATAAAACATATATCTTTCTCTTTTCAATCCACATTCAATCCCTTTTACACATTATTTGATAGCACGAACTTTCGCCTGAAATGCCGACAAAATACGCGCGATCATCCTTCCCTGAAGTTGGGATATGTCCTTCACCTTTTCAGGTTAGATAATGATCGAACTAAAGACCACAACTTACTAACACCTGAACTTAAGTTGCCTACATGCTGATTTCTTGGTTCATCTGGGCGAGTCTTCGATCGCCTGGGATGGAATTTCGGATGTCATCTCGTTCATCTGCAAGACCAATACGTGTAAAGCGAATAGCTTTACTACCTTGGAGGAAAATATGAGATCATGTTCGGTGTATTCTCTGAAGCCATGTCAGTTTGGCTTTCTATTGACGGCGTTCAGAGACAATAAAATCGTTAGGCCGATCCAGACAAACGAATATGTGTGAGTGGTCTGATCCTAAAAAAATACTGTTCGCCATGTTGTGGCGAACAATTGTGAAGTCGGGCCAGCTCGCGCATATACCCATAATCCGTGTGGATTGTGGGCCAATAAATGTACAGAAGATGTATTCGTCAAGCTATTCCAGCAACGCGCATCTCTGATCTTCCCCTAAGCAATTGGGCTGATGGTGGGCATTGAAGTCACCTAGGACAAGACGCATATCGCCGTCTACCAATGTCCCATTATCGCGCTATCGGGACGGTAGCCTGCTGGATAATTGGCTACTGGCGGAACTTAGACATTATAGAGCTCTAAGTCGGTGTTTCTACATCTAACTGCAATACCTAGAACACCTTTAAGTTTGGTCACTGAAGTTGAAATCAAGAGAAAGAGCTGCACGGTTCTGTGAATAATGAAGGCGATACCCTCACAGCTACTTCTGGCGCAAAATGTTATATCCGCTACAATCTTGTAGACTGGAATTGTTCGTTAATTTTGTATCCCGGACCGCACGATATCGGATTATCTCAGAAATTCTATATTGGAGGCCATTGCAGTTGAACTGCAATATGGATATCAACCAGGTCTCCGGAATGCAATCGATGGTGTTAGTGAGAGGAATTGTGGTGATTGTAGATCGATTCTTTTGGAATATAATACTTAATGTATAAGTACATAGGATCATAATCATGGACCGAAATCTGCAGCATTTAATACAGTGATTGTGTGAAATCAACTACAAAACTGTGACAAATATCCTAACAACTTCCTAATAAATTTTGATTCTTACCCACTGTACATAAGTCGTTAAATACTGAAGAGGGGGAACCGAATAATAACAACAATAACAAAAAAGAGTTGAATCACCTTTAAGTGAAAGTGAATTTTTTGTGCAGAAACATACTTTAAACGTTTTGTCTACATTTGACTGACTTACTCACTCGAAGTATTATTGTATGACGATCGTTTGGTGGTTCGCTCTGTCTTTCCCTGATTGTTTTTGGTTGCTTACCTGTGAGTTTAAATATAAATCTGATACAGACACATACGGCATGTAAATACATACATACATATGTAAGTATTTACATACTTGTACTTTTTTTCGTGTATAGGAATTATTGCAAAATTTTCGACAAGAAATTTTTGGTGTTTTTATTTAATCACCTTTTTTTCTTTTCTTCGTTTCTTTCTTTAATATGGGTGCAGTACATTCTGTTTTTGGTTTTCATGATGTTTTTTTAATGTAAATAAAATTTATATTTTATGACTTATTTTTAAAAATTTACGTAATGTGTTTTTGTGAAATTAAGGACCGTCTTTTTGTTGTTGGTTGTTATAAGCCAAGCGGATATGTTGTTTTTAAGAAAAACATTTAATGGTTTTTTGCTTAAATTGTTTTAAAAACGTCTTAAAAAGATGTTTAATGTTGAAATTCAAGTTCATTTAGATAATCGATATTATTTACTATATAAGAAGTTTCTTTTAAAAATAAATTTCATAACTCCGAATTTAAGTTGAAATTTTAATTCGTATTTTCTGTTCAAAATATTTATGTTGGAAATTAACCTTAAATAAAAAAAAATTTAAATTTTTTAATACTTTTTAAGAATCCTTTACGGTTAATTTTAGGTTAG